AGATTTATGAAGAAAGATTATTTATTTGCAAAATTTTATAAAAAAAACACTTTTCAAAATGTTTGCACTTTTTCGTTTATATAGCAAAAAAATAAAAATCCCAGTGGTGAATAAATACAACCAAAATAAAGTTTTATCTGTCTCAAAAAAATGCTAAAAAATTAATATGGGTACAGTGTTGCATGACTGCGCAATTGTCATTCAAAGTGTGATAGCACTGAAAGCTGAAAATTGGCCTGGATAGGAAGGGGGTGAAAGTGTCTGGACTTGAAGTGGTTAAGGTGAGATCTTTCTTACGGATCTAGCCCAGCAAGCATATGTTCATGACTGTACATCCTTTATTGTTCATTTCTTACATCTTTACAATACTAGTACTTTCTCATTAATGTATAAAGTGGTATTGTTTTGTATATCATCATTGTGTTGAGTAGGGAGCCATATATTGGGCATTCACTGCCAATGCACCCTTATCAATAAAGAACAAAAAGTGTTTGTTAAAAATAAAGATTTTCCATTAACCACTGCAGCCATTTCAGCTTCTAGAAGAACACAATGAAGGTCTCTTCCATTCTCCCTTTGATACACATATGCCTGTAAATTCTCTCATTGTGTTTGTCAAAGTCACATACACGTGAGATTACCATCACCATCAGTGTGGGATTAATAATTCTAGAGCCATGATTTATGATGATTTCTAATCTGGTAGTCTGTAAAGGCTTTTAATGTATTGCCTATGGAGATTTTGAGTACCATAATTCTGTGCCATTTCACAGAGGGGCACAGTTGTAGCACTTGACAAGTTGGATATCTATTTACTTCATACAATCTCAGCTTTTACACAAAATTAGTATTATATTGTGTTTGTGTGCACTAAAATTAATTTTGGTGTATTTTTTAAATATGTGCTTGATATACATTTGCGATTTGCAGCATTAAAAATTTCAGCTACTGCTTATTTATTCTACAGGGCCTCTGATTTCAGAAAATATATAATGTCTGGGGTTTAAAGTAATTTTCTAGCAAAAAATGCTGATTTTTAACGTCTGTAAAAAACTAAAAAAAATGCCTCAGTAGGCAAGTGGTAAAAAGTGTTAGTTGGAGTTTGGCTTTATTTATTTAAAGTGTTACTAAACCCACAACCGTAAAATTGGTCTGTATATGCGGTAAAGCATGCTTGTTATACTTTCTGTGGAACCTAAGGGGTTAATCCTCCGTATTTGATCCTGCCTTCTCTGATCCTCTCCTTCTAATGTCCCCAATTTATCTGCAGATAGTACAGAGCTCTAGGAGTCACTCTGCACTTGCTCAGTTTGGTGTGTGTTGTTAGAGAGTTTTATTTTGCTTTGGGAGACTGCATGTGACCAGCACAGGGACAATCAGCGCTGTCCAGACATAGGGTCAGGAGTTTTGCAACCTCATAGTACAGTTAGAGGAGAATGAACACTCCTACAAGATTAACCAGTGCTCAGCCAGACACTGATAGAAGTCACAAGACTACTCTAACTGCTGATGAAAAAAGGTATTTAGCAGTTTATATTTACTAAAATAGCATTTCAATGATCTGTGTACTGTGGGAGATCAGAAATAGTGAATGCAGGGTCCTGGGTTTAGTAACACTTTAAGTCTATCTAAATCTGCTAGTGCATCTAACACTACCCTCTCCCCAGACTGGCAATGCTGCTCTCAAAAGGTGTCTCCATTGCTCCTCCATCCAGATCTAATTACACAACAATTGTTCAACAGGTAAAAAGTTTTGGGCATAAAATTAGCTAATCTTACATAATTTTGGGGTGCTGAAAACGAAAATGACCCTAAAAAATGTTGATTGGCTCTAGTTTCCATGATATATTCACCCATCTAATGACGTAAGCCATTCAAAATTATGATGCAACTTCAGCTGCATATTGCGCAATTGATACTGGTGACCAATAGAAAATTGCATGTATACTGAGATGATGCAATATTAGCCTTTAATTGCATCACTTCACTGCATAAAAGCTGCAGTATCTGTAGCTGATTGTAGTTCGACAGCGTCTTTACATTTCGTTTTATGCTTATATAGGCTACTCAGTAATGCCTCGAACTTGTGTGAATAAAGCAGATAATTTCTGCTATATCTGCTGTGAAATAACTTTTATCTCACAAAAAAGGAGGATAACAGGAATGATTAAGAAAGCCTACAACTTGTATTTTGGCTGCAAGATAGGAGACCAGGACAAGAGCTGGGCACCACATATATGCTGCAATTCTTGTGGGACGGCACTGGAGCAATGGTTGAATGGAAAAAAAGGCATCTATGCCTTTCGCTGTGCCAATGATTTGGAGAGAGCCAACAGATCATGTTAGTAATTGTTACTTTTGTATGGTGCCTCCAATTGTAAAAGGGCTAAATAAGAAGAAAAAGTTATCTGTGCACTATCCAAATATTCCATCGGCAATACGTTCAGTTCCTCATGGAGAGGGGCTACCAATTCCTAAAGCACCAGAATCCTTCGTGGTTGAGTCAAGTGAGGAAGAACCTGAAGCGTGTAGTCACGTGCAGTTGTAAGAGATAGCCCTTTCCTCGAATACAAGAGAAAAGCCAAGAGAAGCAAAACCGACACAAACTGAAGACAAAACTAGTGAGAATCCTAAGTATTAAAATGATTCAACTTAGCTTATGGCTATAATTTTTCTTGGTAATCCTATGCAATATATTATGCCATTTAGGCTTTGTTATGTAGTCAATATCACTTGCTTTATATTTGTGGAAAGACATCTATCTATATAATTATTGTGCATTATGTAGTCATTACGCCTATAGTAGAAAACTTTCCGTTTACAGAAAAACTAGAGCCAATTGACAAATTTCATTGTTATATTTGAACTCAGAATGTGAAATTCATTAAGAAATGGATCCTTTTGTTTCCAAAACTGGCAAAAAATAAAAATTTGTTGAACAGTGATTGGTAAGCTGCAATATATTACATTTTGGTTTTTGGGTTTAATGCCATTTTAACTTACTGTTGTTTTAAGCACATTTGTTATTTTATGTTCAAGGGTGAACTGACAACTCATGGGGCCCCCGGGCAATAGGAGATCATGGGGCCCCTGTGTCCTTGCCCACACTCAAACTGCACCCAAAAAAGCCTATGAAAGGTACCAGGGGCATCTCATGGGGCTCCCTACTGACCCTGGGCCCTCGGGCACTGCCTGAGAGCCTGAATGGTCAGTCCGCCCCTGTTTAAGTTAACCCCTACCCTTTAACACGGTCTTCATGCTGAGGTGTGGGAGAGATTGGCTGATCGTGTGACCACTGTCATAGCTAGTCACAGTGGTCACATGATAGAGTAGAGCTGGGCCCTGCAGAACAAATACACCGCAGGGGACATGCCATCAATGGCATCTCAGTAAAACAAGAACTTTACAACAAAATAGGTTGTGGGGTCCGTTGGCAGTGTATTCATTCACTTAGAGCTTATGGAATTAGCATAGGAGCAAGGAAGAAAAACCAACATGGCTGTGAGGCCACAGAGATGCAGTAGAGGCACCTACTCATTGTCAGCCCCATGCACTTGCAAGATGAAAGAGATCCACACATAAATAGAAATGTTGATTTTTAAATATAATAAATTGAATGAAAATTACAAATGTTACTATAAAAACACTTAAGGCCCATTCACAATAGAATGCAGTGCGGGAAACCCGTGTCTGTGCGATTCCAGTGCAGTTCCTAGTGTGAATGGACCCTTAATGATGTTTTCAATAGTTACTCGCTCACATTGGCAGCTGGGAGGCAGTAAAAATAGACGGTTGAGCTGCGCATTTACTGCCCCTGAACACCTACCCCCTTAACTCAAGACAGTGGCTGGAAGGGGTTGTACACATGTGTAGGCTGCAGGCTTAAGGGTGGCTTCACATTGCCCCAGTGTGGTCCCACAGCACTTTGGGCAACTCACTGCGATTTTCCATAGACTTCTATGAGGTCCCATGGTTTTGGTGCACTTTCAGAAAGCATACCAAAGATACAGCATGCAGGAGTTTTGGTGCGTTTTTTTAAATCGCACTAAGGCTCCATGCACACTTGCATTTTTTAAGCTCCTAGAAGCTGTTAGCATTTTTTTTTCTGCTCCTAGAAGCTAAAGCTATCCTATGTGTCCATGCACACTACCGTAGGCTATTCGCATTTTTTTAGCTTCAGGGTCTAGGAGCAGAAAAAAAAATAGATTTGTAGAGTTTTTCAGACTGTTTTTCCAATAGAAAAAAAATGCTAAATGCCCCTAAACGCTGCTAAACACTACTAAAATGCTCCTAACAGCTTTCTTCCAGCATTTTTTTTTCTCTACATGTATTGTGAAAACGCTAATGAAATGCTAACACTCCTAATGCTTCTGGACACTACTAAAGCGCTACTAAAAATTGCTATTACCAGTGTTTTTTATCCAGTGATTTTTACAGCGTTTTTTGAGCTTAAAAAAAAAACGCTAGTGTGCATGGAGTCTTAAACTGCAGGACTTCATAGAAGTCTATGGGAAAGCACAACTAACCTGCATGAAAATTGCAGATTACCTGTGTGTTGGCAAAAGCGCAGTGAGGCAATGTAAAACAGGTGGTGAGGAGACATAAATTATATTGCCAAAATTATTGGGACGTCTGTCTTTACACACACATGAACTTTAATGGCATCCCAGTCTTAGTCCATAGGGTTCAATATTGAGTTGGCCCACCCTTTGCAGCTAGAACAGCTTCAACCTTTCTGGGAAGGTGGTCCACAAGGTTTAGGAGTGTGCCTATGGGAATGTTTGACCATTCTTCCTGGAGTACATTTGTGAGGTCAGGTACTGATGTCGGACGAGAAGGCATGGTTTGAAGTCTCTGCTCTAATTCATCCCAAAGGTGTTCAATCAGGTTGAGGTCAGGACTCTGTGCAGGCCAGTCACGTTCCTCTCCACCTCAAACTCACTCATCCATGTCTTTATAGAACTTGCTTTGTGCACTGGTGAGCAGTCATGTTGGAACAGGAAGGGGCCATCCCCAAACTGTTCCCACAAAGTTGGGAGCATGAAATTGTCCAAAATGTCCTGGTATGCTGACACCTTAAGAGTTCCCTTCACTGGAACTAAGGGGCCAAGCCCAACCCCTGAATAACAACCCCACACCATAATCCCCTCTCCACCAAACTTTACACTTGGCACAATGCGGTCAGGCATGTACCGTTCTCCTGGCAACTGCCAAACCCAGACATGTCCATTGGATTGGCAGATAGAGAAACGTGATTTGTTGCTCCATAGAACACGCTCCCACTGCTCTAGAGTCCAGTGGTGGCATGCTTTACACCACTGCATCCGGCGCTTTGCATTGCACTTGGTGATGTAAGGCTTGGATGCAGCTGCTCGGCCATGGAAACCCATTCCATGACGTTCTCTACTCACTGTTGTTGTGCTAATCTGAAGGCCACATGAAGTTTGGAGGTCTTTAGCTACACAGTGCACAGTTGGTGGCTTCTGCGCACTGTGCACTTCAGCATGTGCTGACCCCACTATGTCAGTTTATGTGGCCTACTAATTTTTGACTGAGTTGCTGTTGTTCCCAGTTGCTTCCACTTTGTTAAAATACCACTAACAGTTGACCATGGAATATTTAGTAGCAAGGAAATTTCACGGATGGACGTATTGCACAGATGGCAACCTATCACAGTACCACGCTTCAATTCACTGAGCTCCTGAGAGAGATCCATTCTTTCACAAACAATTGTAGAAGCAGTCTGCATTCCTAGGTGCCTGATTTTATACACTTGTGACCATGGAGGTGATTGGAACACCTGAATCCAATGATTTGGAGGGCTGGCCCAATACTTTGGGCAATATAATATATCACCAGGCACACACCTGGTAGTTGCCCTTTTAGAGGGGCGGCAAGGGCTGCTGCTAAACGAGGTCTAAGATCTAACTGCAGTGGAAAAACATTTGCATATGTTCTCTCTCTGGGAATCCAGCTGCATCATCTCACTCATTTCAGAATAAACTGTCATTTTCAGTTCCTCTCCCTTTGAATTTGAATGAAAAGTTGGCAGTTTGAAAAAAGACTAGGAGATAAATAACAGTTTAATGCCTATTGTGAAATCAAGGTGGAACTATAGGCACAGATACTCAGCTGTGCTCCAACAGTCCACAAGCATCTTCTCTATAGGCCTCTTCTGGGTACATGTATTTTATTGAGGAAGAGACATTACATACCTCTTCTACAATAAAGAGCCTGCCTGTCTGCATTCTTTGTTTGTGGCACTGAGAGGACTAGTGCCACATTGATAGTGTCCTTGGGAAGACAAGTGTCCCATTGTTGGTGTCCCTGGGAGAACTAGTGCCCCATTGATAGTGTCCTTGGGAAGACAAGTGTCCCATTGTTGGTGTCAGTGGGAGGAATTAGTGCTGCATTGTTGGTGTCACTGGGATGAATTATGCCCTTTTGTTGGTGTCAGTGGGAAGAATAGTGTCCCGTAACAGTAGGAGGACAAGTGCTCTATTGTTGGTGTCCCTGGGAGAACTAGTGCCCCATTGATAGTGTCCTTGGGAAGACAAGTGTCCCATTGTTGGTGTCAGTGGGAGGAATTATGCCCCTTTGTTGGTGTCAGTGGGAAGAATAGTGTCTCGTAACAGTAGGAGGACAAGTGCCCCATTGTTGGTGTCAGTGGGAGGAATTAGTGCCACATTATTGTTGTCCTGGTAGGAATTATGCCCCTTTGTTGGTGTCAGTGGGAAGAATAGTGTCTCGTAACAGTAAGAGGACAAGTGCCCCATTGTTGGTGTCCCTGGGAGAACTAGTGCCCCATTGATGGTGTCCTTGGGAAGACAAGTACCCCATTGTTGGTGTCAGTGGGAGGAATTAGTGCTGCATTGTTGGTGTCACTGGGATGAATGATGCCCTTTTGTTGGTGTCAGTGGGAAGAATAGTGTCCCATCGGCTGGATAAAGGCAAGCAAAGGGCAGCAGTTTGGAGAACACTGGACTAGGCTATGAACATGCCAGACACAGACAACAAAAAACTGTCAGGGGTCAGGGGGTTTCCTTCACTCCAAGCAAACAATGAAAAGAGTTCCGCCTATAGTTGTGCTGTAAATACAGGGACTGATCTGAGTGTATACGATGTACAGCGCTGTGTACATTGGAGGTGCTATATAAACACACATTCTGAGCACTACATACTCCTACACAGCTAGAATACACACGTCGTCATCTGCATATAAAATGATACAATGATAGAGATTTGTAATAAAAATGAAAACAAAGAACGACATCCCGAACGTGAGCGCGCACGGCAATGAGCAAGAGCGCGCGGCAGGGCCTGCTCAGACATAACAGTGGGTGTGGGCGGAGCGTGTCAGGCGTCCATCTTCTGAGCTGACAATTGGATGAGATCGGGCGGTGCGGAGTGTGATCTCGGGGAGATCGGGGTCATCATGTCGGAGCCCGGGGAGGGGGTGTGCAGAGCCCGCAGGAGGGGCAGGAAGAATCAAGTCCGAGCCAGCGCTTTCCCAAACCGGCTGTACCATCAGAAGAGGTCAGCGGAGAATGCCGCCAGTGGGGGCCCCGAGGAGCCCCAGCCTGCCAGGGCGGTGCAGTACAGGCAACTCCGGAGAGAGGTGAGCCTGGCCATGGCCCTTGTCGTTGTATGTCATGAAACACGCCATCCTCCCTGTACTGCAAGGGTTAAAGCGGAGGGAACCATAAAAACACAAGTGGGTAGGATGTGTATGGCAGGAGGGATCTGATTGGTCAGTCACCAGCCCTCATGTACACTGGACCGTGCATGTGCAGCTCAGTGGGTGTTTAGGCCCATTTACATGGGGTGAATACATGCAGGCCCATGTTTTTGCGATTCTTGGCCCGTGTCGGCAGGCCCATTGCTGCCTATTGGGCTGCAGTCACAGCTCCCAACCTGAAAACAGTTCTGGTGCACAGCCTAGGGTGAGTTTGGGGACACCCACCCACATGGACGACATATTGGGAGCTGGGGCTGTATCCTAATAGATGGTGAAGGAGAACAACAAAAGAGAAGCGCACCAACCTTGCGATTACCTCAGTAACCAAAATTTATTAAATAAAAGAATGGTACTCACAAACAGCAAATAAAAACAAGCATGTAAGTCCTCAAGGGGACTTTAGAGGCAAGATGCCAATGCGAATCCCATCATGGAGGAAGCCACTCAGTACAGCTTTCTTCCTCAGAGCATGTCCTTCGAAACGCGTCAGCTGTACTGAGTGGCTTCCTCCATGATGGGATTCGCATTGGCCTTCGAAACGCTCAGTGCCTTCTAAATGTCCCCTTGAGGACCCTACATGCTTGTTTTTATTCGCTGTTTGTGAGTACCATTCTTTTATTTAATAAATTTTGGTTACTGAGGTAATGCGCAAGGTTGGTGCGCTTCTCTTTTGTCGTTCTCCTTCACAGTTTTGTTTGGGCTTCCCCAGCCTTGGTGTGGAGCTGCACGACCTTGTCTATTCCGGTGGTCCCTTCCTTTTTGGAGTTTGATTCCATCTACTCACCACCGGCCTGGGTCCCGGAGCGCAGGAGATATTGCATTTGGTTTCCTAATAGACAGTAATGGGACTGCTGGCAAGGGGATGTATGCATGTAATTACCCCAGGTGAACAAGGCCTTACAGCAGCATTCTGTGCCGTGATGTGACACCCAGGCCAACCAACTGGCCAAAGAGTTGGAACCCAGAAGGAAGAACAGGAGTAGGAGGTAGCCCCAGGCACTGGCAGAGCTGGAGGGGATCGCTTGCTGGGTAAGTCTGCCTTGACCACTTACCTACCGGGTTCTTTTACCCCATTCCTGCCCAGGCCAATTTCCAACTTTCAGCACTGTCACACTTTCAATGACAATTGCGCGGTCATGCAACACTGTACCCATATGACATTTTTATAATTTGTTTCACACAAATAGTGCTTTCTTTTGGTGGTATTTAATCACTACTGGGTAAAAAAGACCGGAAATTAAAAAAAAAAAAAAGTTTTCTTTGTTTCTGTTATAAAATTTTGCAAACAGGTACTTTTTCTCACTGACTTGCATCGATGAGTCTGCGCTGATAAGCGGCACTGATGAGGCAGCACTGAAGGGCACTGACTGGCGGCACTGCTGGGTACAGATTGGCAGCACTGATGGGCACTTTTGCGGCTGCATTGATAACCAGGGTATCAGTGCCCTGATTATCAGTGTAGATGTTTGCTTTCACAGTTGCCGGTTACCGGTAATATTTTCCTCACGCTGTGACAGTGTGAGGAAAGTAGTGCTGATAACTGGCAAGTGTATTTACATGGTGATCAGCTGTGATTGGACACACCTCATCACCTAGTAAAAGAGTTGTGATTGGCTAGAGGGGGATCTTCTCCTCCCCACTAGCTGTCACAAGTTAAGTAAAAACTCACCCCACCCGGCCCTGTCACTCATTCACAGTATTCTGTGAATGAGAACACCACAAGTTCTGACAGCCTTTGCAGCTGTCTGCTTGTAGTTTTCAGTGAACTACCATAGCACTCCACAGCACCATGGTAGTTCATTAAGGCTTTCAATCAGTAAGTATCTGCTTGCCCATACGGGATGTACAAGCAAAACCAATACACTGACAGGTCTCCTAGAGACCTGCATGGGACCAGAGATCTTCTGATTGCTGGTACAATGCTTTAGAGGCTCCAGAAACAAAACAAAAAATAAAAAAATATTTTTTTTTACCTGCAAAAAAGTGTATTTATTATTTTTGTTAAAAGGTGAACTTGTCCTTTTTAAAGTTTTTTTTTTTTTTTTTTTTTTTTTTTTTTTTTTAACCTTATTGCAGAGAATATATTTAACTTGTTGCCGACCGCAGATAGCCGAATGACGGCTGCACTGCGGCCGGCCAGTTCTGAGTGGACGTCATATGACATCCCCCCAGAACGCGCTCTCCTGCGCGCCCCAGGGGGCGCGCACCCGGCGATCTCCGTGATCGCTGTGTCCTACGGACACAGCTGATCACGTGATGTGGTAAAAGGCCAATCACAGCGGCCTTTTACCACGTGATCAGCGGTTTCCAATGACACGCTGATCAGAGGGAAATGCAAGTGCCGGTTCTCGGCTGCACTT